AATGACCAATGAATATAGCTGTTGGGTAAGTGAAAAGAAAAATTTAAATGTGCACCTCTAGTTATATCTGCTAAAGAATGAATGATTGAATTCATGAACTAGATCTATGTCTAAAGGAAAAGTGAAATGACTAGGTGCTGAATCCTTTCCATCCCATGGAACTTCTTAATGACATGCTCTTCAGGGCATAAAAGAATCAAGAGTATCTCTTGGCTCCTTTCTACTATTTCCTGGTGTGCTGCTCCCAAGAATGCCCTGGCTGCCATTTTCACCTGGGGAGTCGCCAGGGGAAAGACCAGCTGCTCATATTTAGATTTTTGCAGCTATGACTCCCATATCCAACTCTGGCTCACACCCCCTATTTTCTCTTCTCTCAGGGAGTAGGATTTCAAGTATATATACCACACTCGTCTTCCATCAGACACCGCCATTGGCTCATGTGCTATTTTGGTGCCATCTGCTTGGGGGACACAGAGGATAATAACAAGAGCTCCTACTTATTGAGTGCCTGCTGTGAGCTAAGTATTTACATATCTAATTTCAAATTCTCACATGACACTGCAAGGACAGTATTGGACCCATTTTTATAGCTCCAGAAAACAGAGATCAGAAAAATTAAGACACATCTCTAAGGTGAATCTGTTGTAGGATTAATATTTGAGCCTCTCTCTTTATCATCAGTGGAAGACATTTCTTTTTCCTTGGAAAAATATGTTCATATTGTCTTTGATTGACTCTCCGCTTTCCGCAACAGCCCTCCCTGGAGAGCTGCTCTCCTACTCTCATCCCATGCTGGTGTCCTGAATTTCCCACAGTGATTTGGCCCGTACATTGAATTTTCTGGCTTCTTGTCTGTTAGACTCAACTGATATCTTAAAATATCTGATTAGTACTTAATAGTGTTGGCAGGTTAGAGTCATATTTTAAAAAGGAAAGTAAATTTCAGCAATTAACTTTCTGAATCACTCATTGAAAGTACATATTTTTTTCCCATGTTACACAGAGAAACTGGACAATGAAATGACCACCTGTTAGCAGCTAATACTGTTCACATGCCTTTAAAAAAGTAATTCTGGCTTTAACTGTCTACAATCTTGGCGACAAAACTCGTGGGAACATCAAGGGCTCAGGAAGCCAAAGGCAGCAAACTGACAATAAAGTGTGTGCTTAGACTACTAATAAGGAAAGAAATACAGTGAATCTCTAATTTCACATAATTATTTAATCTCAAGAAGGTGACATAAAACCGAATGCTTGTTTTAAAAACCTAAGTTTGGGTGTTCAAATCTAGGACTGAAATCACAGTGGTTTCGCACAGTGCATTTCCTACTTGAAATAAATATTTTAAAAAGCATCAAATACAGAACATGTCAATCACTACTTCAAATGCATAGTCTAATTTGATATTGTGTGGGTGGGTCAATCATTATGCTTTTCTTTTTTTTTTCCTGAAGATTTTTTAATTTATGCATACAAGAACTGGGGTACAGGCCAGAAGTGCAGGAGGGTGACAGGATTCACCACAGACAGAGTGGGGAACAGAATAGGCAGACTGACTGAAATACACTGCTGAGGGGAGCAGTGGGCGAGACAGGAAAGGTCTGCTGCGCAGTATGGGTAGCTTCATAGTGCTGTGTCTTAACCCTTTGTGCCACCAGGGAGGCCCTCATTATGTTTTCAATGAAAATGAATACATCAATACTGAATGAACTTAATTGAAATGGATATTAATCATATCCTATATTGCAAAATATGTACTAGTCTTTAAAAAAAAAGACTGACAACTATAAATATCCACCAAAATACAGAGAAGTATTTTCTAAAATTAAAGGTAGCATTAAAGATTAAATAATCTTTTATTTTAACAGTGAAATCAAAGCACATAGAAAACATCTTGTTTAATTATTTTGCTAATAGGTTTTTCGGACACTTTAAGGTTATAGATTTTGATGGCTCTCATTATTTTTTAAAGATTTATTTATTTATGCATACAGGAACTGGTGTACAGGCCAGAGGTGCAGGAGAGTGAGAAGATTCACCAGAGACAGAGTGGGGAACAGAACAGGCAGATTCACCAAAAACACTGCTGAGGGGAGCAGCAGGCAAGACAGGAGAGGTCTGCTGCGCCATGTGGATAGCTCCCTGGCCAGCCAGGGATCGAACTTATGCTACAGAGGCTGGATAGCTTCACAGCACTGCACTTAACTGCCTGCACCACCAGGGAGGCCCTAAATCTCATATTTAAGGTGATATTTCCCATCCAAGTTCAAGGTGATATAAACTAATTTTATCTTGTATATCTTCACTTCAATGTGATGTGATCTTTTAAAAGCGCAGGCTCTAAAATCAAATTGACTGCGACTGAAGCTTGTCTATATAATTTGTCTTTAAATGAGTTACCTTCATTCTCAGTCCTTGGTTCTCTCATTTATAAAACAAGGTTAATAACAGCGCCTTACCCACTGATTAGTGTGAGGATTAAGAAAATCACCATAGGAGAGAAACTTAGGACAACACTTAGTGAACAAAGAGCTCAGTATTTGGCAGCTACTATTATTTTTAAAATACAAAGCAAAAGTTAGATGTCAGATAACTATATGATTAGGTACATTTTGAAGTGAGTAGAATAAATCCTATGTCTCTTGCCTTGTTGAAGAATTTAAGACCAAAGTAAACAAATAATTGTCTTTCCCAAATAAAATAAATTGTAAAACGGATTAGCTGGTTTTATACCTATAAGACCCCTTCCTGCCCCCCAGTATCATCCCAAACACTTAAGTGGCTATTTCTGAACATAGAATACATTTGCTTTAATATTTTTCTAACACACGTTACAAATCTATTGAAGTAATTCTTGTTTTCAATACTGATCATTCAAAGGTATAGGTTCATACATCTTCACATCATGGCCACCACTGAAGCACAAATAATCTTCCACTATAATTCATTGGAGTTCTTTACTTTGCACCCCTTAATTTCTTTAGTAGCCTCAGTTCCACAGATTTCTAAGATGTGTTCAGTTTTTAGTATTGTTTGTTCCTTTGTTTTGTTTCCCTATATTTCTCATGTGAATGAAATCCAGTATTTTTCTTTATTCTTCCTTCTGGTTTTTGCTTAGCAATAATTGCCTCCAGTTCCATCTCATGTTGTGACAAATGTCAAGATTTCATCTGTTTTAATAGCTGTGTACTATTCCATGTGTCTACATATAACGTCTTCCTAATTCACTGATCTGCCATTGGGCACTGACATTGTCTCCATAACTTGACTACTGTAAATAGTGCTACAATCAAGATGGAATAAATATATACGTTCATTTAGTGTTTTTGTAATCCTGGGGCAGATACTTTGCTGTGAGTCACTGCATCATATGGTAGATTTATTTGTAATAGTTTGAGAAACCTCTTTATATTCTAAGTTTCAGGCTCTACTACCATATCAAATTTGCCTCCAGACCAATAATTGCATCTGAGATTCTGGATCTACCGATCATTGTCTTATTTTACATCTGCTGATCATTGTCCCTTTTATATCTACTGTAAAATATTAATACATTAACATTAAGTCTAGCATAACAATTAAATTCTAGCTCTAAAATCTTTCCTGTGTCCAAACCCACATGAAGTAAAGGGGAACAAAAACCAGGAATTAAAGGGAAATATTCAAATAGGATAACCCCAAACTGTTCCATGATATAATTAACACTCTGCAAATAACTTGTTTTGAAGAGTTTTGCAATCTTGTGGTTCAAGACATTAACATTGGTCATTTTAAACTTTAACTTCACTGGGCAACTAAATATGAATCTAGTAGTTGTTGAAATTATGGCAAGGTTCTTTGAGTGGTGATCTCATTTTAAAAGGGTAGTTGTATTTATTGTACAGTAGAAGCTATTTCTAGATTTCTAGCCTCCCCAAAATTTAGCCCTGTTATTACATATAAATAGCTCCCTTTTCCTTATCATATATGTGCAAGGGAGCATTATACATGTGTGTGTCTATATCCATATTTATATATGTACCTGTATCTATATTTGTATCTCTATCTATATATCTATATATATCCTAATGCATACATACATATCTATTGCATATAGGTCGTCTATTATTTGGATCTTTGTACATGTGGAGATACTCTGTTACGAGTCTTTTTCAACTTACTGAGCTCTCCTTAAGTTAAAAAAAACTAGGATGAAACTGCATTGATATTTGGCTAGTGGAACTTGGCAGAAAGAAATGGTAACTCAGAAGATTGGGGGCATTTAGGTGCATGAGCCAGAAGAGGTACTACAATTTTTGAGACTTTGGGAAATTGGTTTTCTCTGATGCAAGAGATATCTACTTGTTCTTTTAAGAGGTTAAGACTCATACAACTCTGTGATATGTGTGTGATATATTTTAATAACCCCATTTTATTGAGGAAGAAGCAAGTTTGGAGATGTTAAGAGATATAATCAGGATCACTATGCAAGTGGTAAGATCAGTCATTTTACTCCAAATTCATGTCTTTTGGAATATAACGACTGGAGGTGACCTTAAAGGACATTTCACTTATATCCCACTTATCCGAATCTTTCTGGTGGTCTGAAAGTTTGGAAAATTGTGCAGGGTTGGTTTAAGTTGGGCCAACTGTGGTGTCATCTTTTAATGTATGGAAATCAAATAGTCAGCATGTTTAGAGGTGTTTAGAGGTGCTTGACATTTCCCACTCTCAAAATCAATCACCAATCTGAATGATGTGACTATTACTCAGAGATTCAGAAGTTCACTATAGGCAGAGAACATGACCTTGGAACAATTATTTTCTCAAAAGGCATTACCAACAATGACGCGAGCAAAGCACCCAGACTGCCCCCCAGTGCATGAATTCCTAGCCAAGAAATGGCTACGAATCTTCCATGAGTAGTATGAGTTTGGCTCAAATACCATTTCAATGCATTTATATTTCATAAGCACTGCATTTAGACAAAGTTAAAATGAGCAAGTTAAAAAAATACTTACTTAAAGATTTTCTGTGTTCTGGTTTCTGTTCTTTTATATCACTATCATAGTGACTCAGCAATTCAGTACTGGAGGATCTCCGGATTTTAAATAATTTCAAATTTCTTGATGGACTACTTGGATTCTTTGGCTGGAATTAAACAATTTGAATAATTTTACAAGGAAAGAATAAGTAAATAGATTGTAATGTATTTTGATGTTAAATTTAAAGGTAACTTTTGAAATAAAACAATTATTTTGGGGTAGGCTCTCTATGCTAAGCTTACTAGACAAACTTTATAATAGCTTTATATTTATATGGTGGCTAATAAATATTGTGCAGTGTTCCAAGCATTCTGCACATAAGCCTCACAATGATCCTAACAGGTAGGTGTAAGTAGTATTCTCCTTACTTTCCTAACAGAAAACTGAAGCCGAAAAAGAGGAGTGGTTTTCTTAAGGCAACAACATTTGCAAGTAGAACCAGATTTCAAACTCAAACAATTTGCCTCCAGAGTCATCACTCTTAATGACATCAACGGACACTGTATGTGTTATTTCTGTGTGTGTGTGTTTGTGTGTGTGTGCTCACATACATTAACATTCACACATGCATGGATAAGAGAACAATATTGATCATGGGAAAAACTCAACTTGTTATTTTATTTTTTAAGTTTTAATCCAAAAATGATATAATGGAAGCTCGCACTGAAAATAGCAACAAAATCACACCAAAAATGCTGATTTTATGTTTCTACTGTCTATTTCATTAAAATAATTCTCGGATGTACTTTCCTCAAGATCTTTAAAATACTAGTATCCTAAAATTAAATGTTTGGTGTAAAATTAATATATAAAAGATAGTTTTAAATAATTTGACTTTAAAATAATTTAAAATGTGTGACTTAAGGTAATTTCATTAAAATATGCAATTTTCATGAGAATAATCTAGTTTAGCAGGAAAAACAATTAAAATTAGCACAAAGGATCACCATTTACTGTATAATGTGAGTATGAGGCTTAAACATATTGGTATTTGTTTTGTAGAATATGTATTGCAGACAGTGTAAGCTGAAAAATGTGAAAATTCGGTAATTATTAAGCACTTGTATGTGTTTTTTATAGCCTCCACATATGAATGTTTGTGTTCTTTCAGGTAAGAAAAATTTAATACACTCTATTTTTGAAAGAGAGAAATCAAATGATGTTTAGTTCCACAAATCCTGTCTGCTGAAAAGGTTTTTTGTAGACACTAAACTTAAAATAAGATCTCTCTGCTCATAGGATCCATTTCAATGTGTTATATGCCTAAGCGGTAAGATTTAAATGACTATATTTTAATTAATAAAGGTAACAGCCAAAACAAATACACACCAATCTGTCAATTGCATTTTTGATAGCGTGGAACCAATCCAATATGATGAAGTCAATATCTGACTGTAGAAGGAACTCATTTCCTGATACTGTTGTGATCTGAAAAAAAAAAAATTGACAGGTAAACAAACCATATAAAGTAAATCTTTTAAATATATAATATGACCTTTTAAGAAAGGATATATCAAAAATTTATCCTTTAAAAAAAACACTTTAATACACTGAAATATTTTCTTATATTCCAGTAATTGTCTTTCTGGGAACTGAGAAACTAGGATCATTTTGAACTGCTCTCCGTAAACTGTTTTTTCATGTCATAACAAATAGATTATTGTTTTAATAATAGAATGATTAACTCAGAAATGGCTAGGGCTACATTTCTCCAACTCAAGGAAAAGCAAGCCAGGAAGTTCAGAATAATGCAAACAGTACCCACTTAAGTCAGAACCTCAAAAAAATGCATGCGGGTGTGTCAGAATTCATTCTGCACTTTTGGCTCTTTCCTGTTTGTCTTTTTCAAATCTAATAGTATCTCTCTATTTGATTTCCTTTTATGGAGGCTCTAAAACAGATTATTTACCAAGAGACTAACGCAGACTTTTCCAAAAGGTCATCCAAATGAATAACATTTGACTATTACTTTCCTATCATAAAGATCTATAGGAAAGTAATAAAGTACCAATTTCTCTAACAAAGGGAGTATATTAGAATAAAAGTTCATTTACATATTTGAGCCTCTCATGGAGAGTATTTATCAAATGAACATCCCTGTTCCAGATTCTCGGGGCTGGTAAGTAGTTGGCAATATTTAACACGTAACTATACGTTTTTCATCACAGTGAATCTTTTTCTCCCCAGAATTGTGCAAGAAGGATGTGATCCTATAGAAACAGAGAAATGCTCTTGATTTCACACATAAAGGGCTACTTAGAAAAGAATTTGATTACAGTGGGTGTGGGCATGATCTTTGTATTAGGCTATCAATCTGAACTGTGAAGATTTTCCCTTTATATTATTGACTTTTTGTTTCAACAGGAAGATGAACATTTCCCGACTACTGTCACACATCAAGTATGGCTTCAGAGGTTTAGAGGACTGACATTTCAAAATGCTCAATCAGGAGCTAGTCACCTCTTCTCAGCCTTACTTGCTCTAAAAAGGAAGTGAACACTGAAATGTGGCACTGGTTCAGAAAATCACAAATCACGCTTCAGGATGTCTCCATAATTCTATCATTAAAGTGACAATTATTACCCAAAATAGCTCTCTCTAAAGATTTCATGATTCTTATAGCAACATTTTATGACAATGATCATGGATTTTTAAAGAAATCTTCGATTTCACACATGCATACATATTCATTTGTCATTTATTTTTAGAAAAACAATGTAGAAACGCAACGTCACACAGTACTGCAAAGCCACTACTTTTGAGTGAGATAGCTTCCATCTCTTTACATTTGTAAGACAAACTATCCAAAAGTATTTGCAATTATGAGAAGAGAAAGATTAGAAAATAAGAGGAATTTAATTACCCTGACTAGAATTTGACAGATTCCAAGGACCAGTCACTCTTTTCTAAAGAGAAATTGCATGTAAGATTCCGGGTGGCTCAAAATAGCCCCGAAATAGTCCTCTGTTTTATGTATCCACTAAAGACAGTTAAGCTGATGTTTGCCTAATTATCTGAACACTCTTGTGATGTTCTTTACTTGCATAAAGCTCCAAATATTTACTTTATAAAGGGTTTCCCCTGAATAGTAATCTAAAAATATAAGGTCAGATCTAACAAACCCAAGAAAACTAGTAATGTCCTTGACCTCTACCTTCTTCCTAATCTAAATTTAAATATTTTGTTTGTGAATGCATTATATAATGTCACAATTTGTTAGCATACACAAAGAAAAATGAATTAGCCCAAAACAATACACAATCTATTTTCCTGCCATTATAAATAAACCATTAGTAAATTATAAAAAGGAACATTTTCAAAGTACAAGAAACAAACATAATTAGATTTACTGTATTTGGAGGGTGTATGAAAGAGCCAGTATAGTTCAGTTTTCAGTCTAGTAAATTCAAACAGTGATAAAATACAAGTACTCAGCAGTGCATTTGCATTTTTTGGTGCATGCTATGCAATGCAAAGGGGATCTTTTACTGCTAACACAACCAAAAGCAAAATGTATTTTTAAAATTTCTTTGTCCAAATATATTACTGCAATAATCGTATATACTCAGTGATTTATGAATTCATTTTGGGAAGCTGGATCAAGAGAACTATATGAATGCAATTCATTCAAAACATACTATCTGAGAGATACAGTTCACATCTTTCCTCTGTCTTCCCACTAATCTTTTGAGTTACCAGGCAGCCTGGAGAAGTCTGCTACTGCTCTCTACAGTTTAAATGCATCCACTTCTTAATTACAGTCCATAATTGACTTTGTTCTGCTCTATTCCAGTCACTCACAGGAAGGCAGTTTCAAAGCTTTTGAATGGTAAGGCCCACCATTTAATTCAGGTTTCTCAGTTCACTTTTTTACATGACCTTTATGGGTTTACTGATAAACAGTTTGCTGAATCATATTTGTACTTTGAACAATTGAATTTTCAACATTTGGGGGGGAAAAGACTTTAATAAAGCATGTTAGCTTTGACTAAATCTTTTGAGTAAACAACTCATGATAACAATCCAAAATGATGTAGAACTTAAATGTACATAACGGGCTTGATATGCTTTCTATATCATGTTTTGACTCAGTGATAGTGGGATTTAGAAAACTTGATGGGATTAGACAAGAACTACTGGTCTACATTTTGCTCGGTAGCCTACTTGAGACAAATGTCTTTTGATATTCCTACCTTTCAACACGTCATATTTTGAGGGGATATCTTGGCACCCAAACAGTCTTAATGAAATGTGCTAGTATTATTAATAATGGAAATCTTTAATTACCTGTCTAGGGAAATTTGCCTCAATATTTTTCACACTAAATACAGTTTCATCTGAATTCTTGCTGGTAACAAATTTGTGCCCAGGAAATTATATAAGTATATTCAGCAAGCAACATGCAGAATAGATAAATTCCTTAAGACTTCTTGGTATTAATTCAATAATAATTTTCCCTTGGGCTAGGAATCAAAGCCGGTGTTCCTGGTGTGGTTTCTCTGAAAAGGGAGGTATGTATATGCCAGCATCAAACTCCATTGATATGGATGAGGAGAGGAGAAATTTGTTTTTTAGACTTGAATTAAAATAAAGATTTAACATACTAATTTAAAACACCTTAAAGGAGTTTTTATGAATAGTGTCTACATTTATTTAAATATTTCCCTTTTCGGGGGGATAGAGGTTAAGTTTCAACACTATCACCTCAACAGCACAGCACTGCAGCCTGACTTGGATCCCAGGCTAGGGAGCTAACTCACCTATGGTGCAGCAGACCAATCCTGTCTCGCCTGCTGCTCCCCTCAGCAGTGTATTTCAGTAAATCTGCCTGTTCTGCTCTGCTCCCTGTCTCAGATGAATCCTCTCCACCCTCCATATCTCTGGTCGACACCCTGGTTCTTCTATAAATAAATAAATAAATAAATAAATAAATAAATCTTTAAAAAATTCCCTTTTCAATATTCTGAATTAAGTATCAAATTTGTAAATACGTATTCTGGCAGTTATTGTTTCCTGTGCTAGGTTTTAATTTAAATGAGATATAAATGGCATCCTAGCTAATAAAATATTCATATTATATCAGAAGGAAAACAAAAGCTTTTTAGAATTTCACATTATTTTATGGTTATAATAGTATAATAGGTGCTTTATAATAGTTGCTTTATTGGTAAAACATATTTACTAGTTAAATATTGTCAACCACTTGCATTCCAGTTGACCTCAAGTACATGCTGGGAGACTATCAAAAGTGCAAGAGATAATAAGTGACATGTGATCTCCTCTTTGATTGTAGAATAAATCCCACTACTAATTTTTGTTCATAAGACTAAGAGGGTGTACTTTTGACCGAGAAGCCCCCAAATCACTTACAAAGACTGATTAAGCATCGATTAAGTGCAAGACACACTGCTAGAAGCTAGAGATATACAAACCCTACCCTCAAGAGCTCACAATCTGTTTGGGTAAATAGGACATATGCATATAAAGATAAATAACAATAGAAAATGGCTTATATTAAGTCCCATTGTGAGTGGTACAGACAATGCTCATGTCAAGATTTCAGAGGAGGGAGTAATTACTGCAGACACATTTACATCATGGAATTATGCATAAACTGTTGGTCATGATAGGTTATTCTTTAAAGGTTGATTGTATCAGAACTTTAGTATATTAAGAATATGAATACTACCACTTGGTATGCAAAGTGATATCAGCTTTAATGATCTCAAAGCACATAATAAACATTCTTCAAATGCAGCTTCCCTCCACTATCATAAAGTAATTTTGCAAATGAAGAAAATGAAGCAAATGAGGAAAATGAGAATGCCATTCTATCAAATTGGCATCATTTTAAATGATAGAATTAAGAGATTACAAAGATCTTGATTTCTAGTTCACTAGTCTTCAGCAAACATTTTACACAGTCAAGGACTCTGCATGTGGGGAAAAGACCATGATGATTTGGTTTCAGTTGTGAAATTCGGAATAGAGACATTAGATAGAACTTGCTTGTTCTTTTATTATGTTAAAGATAGCATACTTTTAAAAAATCACCCAGAATCTTTATTCAGGTTTTTTTTTTTCATTTTTTTCTCAAAAATAGACAGTATCCTGCCATGAAGAAAAAAAAAAATCTAAAATGAATTGGTACATCCAAAAAACTTTCTACATTCTCAAAAAGACCAAATATTTTTAAATAAATAGTTTCCACATTTTTTTTTTAGGATCTAACATTGCCTAAAAATATAAAGAGAGTTTTTGGGCCTCCCTGGTGGTGCAGCGGTTGAGCGCTGGGTTGGGAAGCGGCCCACAGCCTCTGCGGTGCCAGTTCAATCCCCGGCTGCTCCCCGGCCACCGGAGGAGGGTCCCACATGGTGCGCAGACCTCTCCTGCCGCCTGCTGCTCCCCTCAGCAGTGTACCTCGGTCC